TCCAGATCCCCGGGTCGGAGCTCGAAGACTGCGCGTGCTCGTTCTTTTGCTCGTGCTGCGTGCTGGCTCAGATGGCGTCGCACACGGAATCGTACACGCCCAACCAGTGCTCGTTCTCCCCCAAGGACACCCTGCCTGGCTACGAGTTTTAACTGCGTCGCTCGTGCTGGTGACGATGTATTTCGATAAAGCTAATTTGATCTGTACACAATTCGAGTGCGTGGGAATGGATGGGTTAGTCGTGTCCAGAGCGGTCGTGGCAACTTCGATTCCCTCGCGACGGCATGGGCCGATGCCGGCATGTGGAATGCCGCCGTATTGTCTAGATAAAGCAGCGCTGAATCAGCGGCGCGGCCGTCTCGCATCATGCTGTTGAATGATCTGGGACGTCCAATCTAAATGGCCGCATCAGTCCATGTGTGCAGGGCATGCATGCACTCGCCACCAGTGCACAGGTCAGCTCACGTTGCGGTTGCACTCGACGTTGAAGATCGCTCCTGACGCGACGAGTGAGCGCTGCGTCGTCCCCAACGTATTCTCTCCCGACGACCAATTCAATACCGTCCTGTGGCTGTCGTCTTGCCGTTTGGATGGCGCGTTTGGCGAGCATTCCAGTCGACTCTACACGACAGAGTTGATGCATTCGCATACCGCGCGCAATGGCTTCGCGACCACCCTTCCTGGCGACACGAAACTGCCTTGGGTTCGAGCTCATGTTGGACTCGACGCCTGGCATGCCAACGGAGCCTCTCGGACAACGCCGCGTGACCCATCGGGTGGGAAACGTCCGTCCGCACCATCACAAACGTGCGCCACGTGCGTCGCCCGCTTTGCCAAAGCCAAACATCCATGGCACGGCGCAAGTTGTGGTGACTCGTTCTTTGTTCGATTCCGCGTGCAAGGTTACAACAAACGCAGACGACCGAGCTCGCTCGAGTCCAAACGGCGGCATGTCAGCATCGGCCCACGCCGTCGCGAGGGAATCGAAGTTGCCACGACCTGGACACGACTAACCCATCCATTCCCACGCACTCGAATTGTGTACAGATCAAATTAGCTTTATCGAAATACATCGTCACCAGCACGAGCGACGCAGTTAAAACTCGTAGCCAGGCAGGGTGTCCTTGGGGGAGAACGAGCACTGGTTGGGCGAGTACGATTCCGTGTGCGACGCCATCTGAGCCAGCACGCAGCACGAGCAAAAGAACGAGCACGCGCAGTCTTCGAGCTCCGACCCGGGGATCTGGA